TGTTGATTTTCTCGCCTATCTGGTTTATGAACTGTATGGCCATTACTCCGAATTCTTTTTCTGTCATGTTGCATGCCTCCATTTCACTTAGCTGATTTTCTGGTGAGTCCTCCTTTTCCTTCCTTTGGGGGTTTCTTTGTTTACCCATGTTTGATTTCACCAATATTTCTAGACGTTGAGTCGTTCAGTGGTTGCTCCCTGTGGTGGCAGTGGCTCCTCGGGCTGTGATTGCTCCTTAGGTGGTTGTGGTAGCAGCTACTCCTCTGTTGGTAGCAGGTCCTCTGATGGGTGCTGTTCACAGCTGTGGTGGCTCTTCTGGATGGTGGAGCGAGGCTTCACACAGAGCAACTGTTTCTCAAACAGAGCGTGTGGTGACCAGGAGGCCGCTGTTGCTTGGATCTGTTGCATTGATTTAAAGGCGCAAAATACAACACAACAAGGCACAACGTACCAGGCACTGAACACAAATGTATTTATGGTATTAATAACCCCAAATAAAGGTGGCCACCCGAGCTAAGAGAGTTGGGGGATAAGGAAGAAAGAAGAGAAAAAGATAGAAGAGAAAACAGAAAGAAAAAGAGAGAAAAGAGAATGAAGTAGAAGAGGGGAGGAGACTATTCATATGAGGAGAAAACTCCGATAGAACCACCACTAATCCCAACAAATTCCAGCAACGGATCCCTGGAGATGAATACAATCTACAAACAACCAATAATATCAAGGGAGGCAAGAGAAAACAGAAGCACAAAAATAACCCGGGGCGAGGGGTAGGGGTGGGGGTGGGAAACAGAAAAAGAAAAAGAAAAATCAGAACAACCTCACAAACAATTCTTAAAAAAAACCCCATATACTCAACAATCAAGCAAACAACAACAAAACAATAGAGAAAAGAAGAGAAAAAAAATTTGGATAGTGAAGAAACTTAAGGGAGAGGTGTATAAGGATTTAGAGCAGGTGATTGGAAAAGGGATATTTAAGTAGGGTGAAATTTAGATGGGGTAAAAAGAATAGGGAATATCTAAAGCAGGAATAGGGTAAGAGAAACAGGACAACAAAAGGGGAAAAGTGGGGAAGAGGGTTTTAGCACAGAGGCAAAATTGAGGTAGAGGAAAATGATGCCAAAGCAGGGGTGGGCAAACTTTTTGTCTCGAGGGCCACAATGGGTTCTTAAACTGGACCAGAGGGCCGGAACAAAAGCATGGATGGAGTGTTTGTGTGAACTAATATAAATTCAAAGTAAACATCATTACATAAAAGGGTACAGTCTTTTTTGTTTTTAGTTTTATTCATTTCAAATGGGCCGGATTCCGCCCGCAGGCCATAGTTTGCCCATGGCTATGCTAAAGGAATGATGAAAATAGAATGGAGAACCATAGTCCCAAAATAAAATAAAGAGAAAATAAAATGACACTTTAAAAAAATGGGAAAATGGTAGCAGTAATAATACTGGTTAAAAATAAAAATATAGTAATTAAAAGGGTAAAATCAGGTGATGAAAAAAGAAAAAAATGGTTTCTTAGTTAAAAGGTGGAAAAATAATTTAAAAAATAATTAAAAATGTGCTGTACTGAAGGTGCTTCAGATCTTCTACTCTTCTTTTTGGCACGCCAGGTATTCAGGTGAATGTTGAATTTCCCTCTGATACACTGTTCCTCTGTGTTGTAAGCCACAGTCCTGATTTTAAGGCAGCCCGTATTGGTTTCCCAGACAGCCTTTATCTGTGTTTACAGAAGAGTCAGTTCATGGCTCTGCCTCTGGGTGGCAGTGTGTCGGGATTGACCTCCGAGGCTATAAGTCCTCTTTGACCAGGTGTGCTCTATTGTACCTAAAACTGGTTTGGTAAAGTTCTCCGCCCAGAGCTGGTTCCCCAGTCGTCACTCCCAGCTCTGTTTCCCAGGCTCCCCCAAAACAACCTTCCCTTACAGGCTCTGTGACTGACCCCAACTGGGTAATCCCATGCACTGGGTTCAACAATCAAATGCACAGATTTAAGAGGAAGTGTAAAAACAAGAGCCTGAGAAGTTGTGCAAACTCACAAGGCTCCACCTTCCAGATCTGCGTGGAGTCTCTGCACGTGCTCTGGCCCCTGGCACCAAGTAGCTGGCCGACTGGCAAAATCTGAGGCTGCCCGTTTGCATCCAGTCCAACTGTGGGCTTATTTATAGCATTCCCTTCTGCCAGCAGCCCTGGGGGAGCCCTTCTACACTCGTGGGTCACGTTGGCTCCAACGGCCGCGGACTTTGTGGGGCACAGAGTGCCCCCCCCTCGTGCGTCCCACTCTCCAACCTAAATTGCAAACCCCACCTTTGGGGGAAGTCTAACCTACTGTGGGGAGAATCAGGGCTCCTCTGAGTTCACGTAGCCGCGCTGCTTGAGAGTCGTTGCTTCCGGGTTAGTAGCCGGTCTCTGGATGCCGGTAACAGCCACTCAAGATGGCGTGGTCTCCATGGCTGAGCTGGCGCACTGGGAGAGGTTTCAGCTGCAGTCTTTAACCGTTCCCTTTTTCTAGGAGTTCTTTGTCTTTCCTGGCTGCAGACTGTTTCTCAGCTGAATCTCCTCTGCTTATTCGGGCTGTATGTTACCCGTTTCAGCTGCTCGCCCTTATCTGCTCTGGGACAAGGCACCAACACATCCGTCTAAACCTCCACCATTTTTTTTCCCGGGTTCACACTTTTTGAACCATTGATCTATAGTTAGTGTTGCAGAAGGGAAACTTTAGGCTATCCTGATTTTTTTGTTTTGTTAAGTACTGTTTCTTCTGCCTGAATGCATGTAGTAATATTTTTCTTTAATAGTTTATGTCAAAACTTTTATCTCTGATAGTGTTTTTTTTGTGTGGCAAGTGTAATCATTTTAGCATTTCATTTTCTAAGTGGTAAATATTGATATTTTAGACTGTGTGATTGGTTTTGTATATTTAGTTTCTCTTACAAGCTCCTATACCAGATCTATGCATTTTCTGTTAAAAATATTTAGTAGTAGTATTTTATATTTTGATTTTTAGGCCCTTTAGCAGAAAAATATTATATTAAAGAGGCAATGTGTGGTAAGGTAATTCTTGCTTTTCATTATTGTCCTCTTTGCTATATGAAAAAATAATGCTCTTTTGGGATGAATTTAAATTTTATTTTCTAAACCTAAATTAAAAAATATAAAATCATATATGTAAATTATTTTGGGATTTCTTTTAATATAGATCTATAAAGATGGAAATATTTCTCTAAAACTAAGTTGTCTATGCAAGTTGTATTAAAACCTTCCTATTAATATTAAAATATTGTTATTTTGGATTATAGACTTATGTTTTAATAATTTGTACATTTTTGTGATTGAAAATTGCAAGACTTGAATGAAATGTTTTATCACACATTGTGAAGAGTTTTATTTTAAAATGTTTAATTACAATTTTATTTTCCAGATTTTGGAATCTCTTTTTAAGGTATGTTCAAAATATTGCAGTTTAAGTTTACTAAAATTAAATGCAGAAATACATGTAAATGAAGTTTCTAAGGTTTGAAGTAGTAAAATTCTTTAACTTGCTGATATATATATTTTAAAATTTTATATTACAATTGTATGTTACACTAGCCTTATTCTAAGTCCTAGGATAAATGATGTTTGGTTCAGTACTAATTTTTGATATATGAAAATTCTCTCCCTCTCTCTCTCTCTCTCTCACACACACACACACACACACACACACATGCATACACACATATCCATTTATTCCACTTTAAAAATTTAACTTGTCAATAATTATTTCTTTTCTGGTCCTTTTTTTTTTTTTTAAAGTGGTTTCAGCGACAGGTCAATCAAATGGAAGAGGTAAGTAAAACATTTCTTAATTGTTAATTAAATTAATATTTTATCTCATCTATAAACAAATTTGGAATATAAGTTAAAATTTTTTGAGTAACCATTGGTTAATACTGATTTACATAGAGAAAGAATGAATGGATAGATAAAAGTGTCTCAGTGATTTATACACTACATTCCTGTATGTATCTGCTATACTCTGAGTTTGGTACATTCTTTCACCTAAAATGGAACAATAGAAATTTAATTATTATTCTTTTCCTAATTTACATAAAATTATAAGTGACAAGAGAAAACTTATCAACTTAAAATTATCCTCTATTTAAATAATCAGGCATAATATATATGCTTACTATTAAATTATATATTCATATTTTTAAAAATGTAATGTTATTTTAATGACTTTTTTGTACTTCTTGATTTTCAGGTGCTTTAGTACCAGTTTGAAAACTACTGGTGCTGTTTTTAGGGGTTTTAAATTATGTTTTGGAAAATACTTTATGTTATCTCTTTATATAGCAAAATGATTTCTAGGATAGCTTTAGTTATTCATGGAATTATTTTAGTTCTCCCTTGGATACATTTGTGGCTCAGCCCAATTAAACCTCTTGAAGCCCAGACACTTTAAATTAAAAAGATTTATTTATTTAAGATATAAATTAAAGATTAAAGTTAGAAATGGAATCCTAGCAGCTTTTTATTATTTTACCTTTGGCCCCAGAGTAAACTTTTATGATCTTGCATTCTTTGCTTCAGATATGGCTGACACTGGAAGAATATTGGTAGTTGTTCTTTGATTATGGTAGATTGGTCATCATCTTTCCAGAGAAGTAGGATTGGGGTGAAATTTACTATTTCCCCCCACCCTCTTATAAGATCGGTATTTCTTTGCAATTTGGGTAGTGCAGCTTACCTTTTGCCTTCTTATTTTTGTATCAACCTCTTTTTATTCTATTTTTTTATGCAGTTGTCTCACTCTCTTATTTATATACTTAGTTGTGTCAATGTGTGAGACCCATCCAAAACTCTGGTTTCTCAGTTCCTTGACCGTCTTATCTCTGAAGATCTGTGTCCTTTATTTCTGGCTCCACTTCCAGTCACACTCTAGACCTTACCATTTATTGAATTGTTTTACTTTAAACATTACTAATTCAGGCAACTCATTCTTAAACTAGAAATATCTATATTTCCAATTAATATTTTAAATACTGCTCTGGCCACTTTTGAAGTCAAGACCATTAGTTCATTTATTCCTCTATCTCCTTGCAGTCTTTTTTATTCATCTTTCTTCACTTTGGAGACAATGTACTCCATCACAGTGAATTTCTTAATTTCCTAATCTCTTTTATCTCTTTCTTTCTTTTGTTCTTTTTGCACTTGTCTAATAAAACATAACCCTGAATAAACGTCATTATTCACTCTTTAGGTTTAGCTGTGAAACACTGCTGAAAAAGTGACATAATAGGTCAGACGCAAAAACTGCCTGGAAATTCTATCGCATCTGAAATTGATTTCAACCTTTTTCAGACATCATCTCAAACTCACCCACTTTGTCTCATTTTCATCTTCACTGTCGGGTGAAATGCTTGAAAGTGCTTGAAATGCTTGAAATACAAGCCACTGGTTAGAATTCCTGCTACCAGCCCGCGCGCGCGCACACACACACACATTTATTTACATGCATACTCATTCTATGTTCCTTTCCTCCTGTTAATTAGAGTTTATTGTTCTCCTACATAAAATTCATTCTTATACTTCTGTTTGGTCTCATCTCGACTTCTCACGAAATTTGATTAATCATTCTCTCTTGTATATTAAACTTTTGTCATTCAAACTGTGTCCTTCTTTTCAGTTTTTAAATATGCTCATGTCTTTCTAATTTAATGCCACATTCCCCTTCAGTTATAGGTCTATCTCTCATTAGCCCTTCATAACCAATTTTAAAAATTATTTGGGAGATTTGGGAAAGTGACGTCAGAGCAATGGTGGCATGAGAGATAGCCTTGTTCTTTCCCCTTGAAGCTTCAACAATTTGAATGGTTATAATTCAACAAAGGATTCCCTGCCCAATGCACAATGTCTGAGATATCTGTGCATTGAAACACGAAAAAGTGGGCAAGTAGCTCTGCCTCATGGAGCCTTATCCCGGCCAGGGCATATACCCAGGGTGCAGGTTCAATCCCTGATGGTGGTTTGTGTGGGAGGCAACTAATCAATGTTTCTCTTGCACACTGATATTTCTCTCTTCCTCTCTCCATCTTTCTAAAAAAAAAAAAATCAATAAAAAAGCATATCCTTGGGTGAATAGTTAAAAAAAAAAAGAAATAAAGGTGAGCAAGTGGGAGCCAATGGGGGAGGTAAGATGGGAGAAAAGCTCAAAGGAGCTATGAACACTGACCAGCAGACTGGAGCTCACTGCATGGCTCAGCCCAGAGAGTGGAGGAGTCAGGTTATGGCTGGCACTCCCTTCAGCCAGGAGGAGCACTTAGTGAGTATTTCTGCAGGAGTGGGCAGTGGGAGCTGTGGCTGAGCCCAGGGACCTGGGCAGGGACAAAGCACAGAAGTGTGGTCATCGTTTTCTGGAAGAGCATTCCAGACAGAGAAACAAAGCCATGGAGCCTGCCCATCTTCCCGTAACCTCCCAGAGCTTGCCTTCCCTCCCACTTTGTGTTGGGTTCCAGAGCACATTATCTGAAAACCCAAGAACTGGGTCTACAGAAACACCTTTTGCCCTGAGCAAAGAGGGCACTCTGCAGCTAGTCCCAGAATCAAGTGGAGGCATCAGGAGACATTGTGGAGATATGCTGATTACCATTGCTAGTAGGGCAAAGCAACAAAGGAGGTGGCTGGGTTCCCCCAGTTCACTCCACCCCCATACATTGGCAGCTGCTCTGCTGTCAGTGTCTGGCTGGGGAGGACAGCACTGGGATTTTATAGATTTGGAGTCCATTGCCTACTACATGCCCCTGTGGGTGACCAGATCACAGGGGAGACACCCACTTTCCCAGGGAACACAGGCCATTTACCACCACCCTACAGAGACCTGAAAAGCCCGAGAAGTGCAAGAAAGTTGAAAAACGTGTGATTCAGTGTCATCCACCAGAAAACAATTGAATGACTACCTCTTATCAATCTACTAGAAAAGTGCCACTCATACATAGATGCCTAAAAGAGAAGGATCACATCAAATACTATGTAGAACCAAGATAACGAGGCAGCTCAGACAGAAAATGAAAATTCTTCAGAAGATAAACTTAAAAACATGGAAATACATTATTTAAATAAGTGGTTGCCAACCAATGGTCTGTGAGGTCTGAAAAGTTGGCGACTGCTGGTTTAAGGAAACCTTTGGAGCAGCGGTCGCCAATTGGTGGTCTGCAGACCACTGGTGGTCTGTGAGGTCCGAAAGGTTGGCGACCGCTGATTTAAATGACAGAATTCAAGATTGCAGTTCTGAAAAAAACTCAACAGGATGTAAGAAAATACAGGCAGTTTAATGAATTCAAAAACCAAATCAACAATCAAAACAAGTACTTCACTAAAAAGATTGAAACTTAAAAAAAGAAGCAAACAGAAATTCTGGAGAAGAATTCAATAAAAGAGATCAAGAATGAATTAGTAATTCCACATGTGAGTGAAAACATATGGTACTAGTCTTTCTCAGACTGGTTTATTTCACTTAACATATGCTCTTCTGCTCCATCCATGCTATTGCAATGGGTAAGATTTCCTTTTTTATAGAGAAGTAGTATTTTACTGTGTAAATGTACCACAGCTTTTTTATGCGCTCATTCACTGATGCACACTTGGGCTGCTTCCAAATCGTGACTATTGTAAATAATGCTGCAATAAACATAGGGGTGCATATATTCTTTCAAATTAGTGTTTTAGGTTTCTTTGGATATATTCCCAGAAGTGAAATTCCTGAGTCATAAGGCAGTTCTGTTTTTAGTTTTTTGAGGTAACTCCATACTGCTTTCCACAGTGGCTGGGCCAATCTACATTCCCACCATTGCACAGGGATTCCCTTTTCTCCACATCCTCACCAACAACTTGTTGTTTGTTGATTTATTGATGATTGCCATTCTGACAAAAATAAACTAACACACAAAATAGAAACAGACTAATAGAGAACAGACTGCCAACTTTCAAGTGGGATGGGAATTACAAGGCTGGGTGAAAAAGATGAAGGGACTAAGAAAAAAACCCCCTTATAGACACAATCAACACTATTGTGATTATCAGAGGGAAAAGTGGGTCAGGGGAAATGGAAGAAGGTTTAAAAGGGATAAATGGTGATGGAAGAAGACTTGACCTGGGGTGGTAAACAACACAATGTAATACACAGATGTATTATACTTGAAACCTCTGAACTTTATTAACCAATGTCACCTCAATAAATTTAATAACAAATAAAATAAATTAACTACAAAGCATAGGAAATAGAGTGGACCAGATGGAGAAAAGGGTAGGGTATCAAAGATAGAAACCTAGAAATGATGCAGAAGAAAAAGAGAGACTTGAGCATAAAAAATGAACTCTAAGAACTATCTGACTCCATCAGAGCATTGTAAGAGTAATAGGCAGGCTTATTTCACTTAGCATAATGCTCTCGAGTTCCATCCATGCAGTTGCAAACGGTAAGAATTCCTTCTTTTTTACTGCAGCGTAGTATTCCATTGTGTAGATGTAAGGGAGGGTGGGAGTAAGGGGGAGAGATCAACCAAAGGACTTGTATGCGTGAGTATAAGCCTAGCCAATAGACACAGACACTGGGGGTGGGGGGTTGGGAGAGGTGAGGACATGATCAACAATGAGGAATTTAACAACCATAAAAAATTTTCCCCAAAATAAAAGTCTAGGACCAGATGGTTTCATCAGTGAATTTTACTAAACATTCAAAGAAGATTTTATACCTATACTCAAAATCTTCCAAAAAATTGAAGAAGAGACAATACTCCCTACAACACTCCCTACCACATTTTATGAGGCCAACATAAGCCTGATAC